CCTGGTTAAGACTCAAGACATTCTTAACAGAGCGACGAATCGACGAGTCACTATGGAAACAGACGCTAAGAAAAAGCGTGCCATGCTGTTTCTTTCTTCTTCTTTTGTTCAATGGTTGTTTACATGCTTAGTGCATATCGCCACCTAATTGATGGTTGTGCAATCATTTAAATTTTTTTCTGTTTAATCTTTAATCCTTGAGAATATGAATTATATTGTTTGTTTGATGCTAATTATATATTAAGTCATATCAGATATGTATTTTGATTTAGAATTTAGACATTACAGAAAATGCCGATCCATGTGTGAGATGATAATATAACATTTAATAAATAAATATATATAATAAATTAAGCATTACCTTGTCTAACATTTTATAATTTATACAGATAACTGTTATATATGCCAATAAAATAAATAACCATATTAGAATAATATATTACCTTATTTATTACTTATATTAGCGCTTCATCATTAACATATCATACAAATATATATATACACAGTGGGTACGGAAAGTATTCAGCCCCCCTTACATTTTTCACTCTTTATAATAGGCTATATTAAATATTGTAATATTATATAATGTTTTGCGCTATCTGTCACGCCAACTGAAGGCTCGTCAGTAGATCACACGTGCGCTGAAGTGAACTAACCCTGAAACATAACCTGCTCCGGAGCAGGTTATCTTCAGAGAGCAAGTTACTATGGTTACTTACCCTGAAAGTAACCTCCGATTTTGGAAGTGAAAACTGAGGTTATCCGCTCGCTTATCCTCAAACATACCCGGGTATGTCACATAACCTGCTTTTTGGAATACCCCCCAGATGTCAACTAAACAAACCTGAGGGAATAATGATGGCAACTAGCTTTTATTTCCATATTTTTGTTAAAGGGGTCCTATTATGCTTTTTCACTTTTTTAAATTTAGTTAGTGTGTAATGTTGAAGAAGAAGAGCTAGCATGCTGTCGCCACGGCGAAGAAACACAGTTTTTTTTCCCACCCCGTTTCCAAAGCCCCTTTATTTGTGCTTACAAGGGTCCTGTAAGTTCCTCCTGTTTGTAAACGTTCTCAGGGTCTGAATCGGACTCAGATTGGTATGGCAAAATTGATGTCATCATCGTTAATATTTACAGTTGCGCAGATGACTCTTGCGGTTATGGTAAGGGGCGTGTCAATTCCGGAACACGCGTTTGGCCAAACACAACACACTGGGCCAGCTAACCAATCAGAGCACATTTCATGTTTCGGAAAGAGTGATTTCACTGAAACAATCAACTAAACAGGGTGTTCAAGACAGACTGGGAAGAGAGGTGCTGCAATAATGTAAAATACATTTAAGAAATAATAAAACATATTATATTATCATGAATATTGGCTTTGCAGGGCAGTATATGAGTGACGTAAACATTTACAGCAATGACCAAAAACAGTAAATCGTAAATCCATAAATTGTAACACAACAGATTTAAAAATGAATTTTCTGTCCAGGAGAGTACAAAAGCTTTTAGAGCTAAAAAGTAAACCGTCGATTAGCTAGCAGTACATTCCATTTATCCAACCCTAAATATAAATTTGAAACATCACCATGCTGCACCACAACATTATATGTCACTCCACAAACAATCGCACTGAATGGAACAAATGCTGCCTGCACCAAGATAACAAGCGTAATAAAACTTATTGATGATTCTTTTACTTATTATCGTGGGTATCACTGCAAGGACAAGCAAAAAAGCTTCACCCAACAATGCACAATGAATGCCTGTGAAAAAGCCAACTATATCAATATCCATTTCCTTTCAGCTGAATTCATGCATGCTTAAAAGATGCCTTCTGCTGTGGCATCCATTACAGTAACTTGACTGCAGGGCTTGCTTGTGCAACAGACACCCAGAAAAAAAGGGAGTCAGAAAAATTATGACAAGGAAAACTGCTTAAGCAGTTCTTACTAAAAGCATGAACTTAAACCATAAAAATATTTTACATTTGAAAACTGTCCACTTCAATAAATCACCTGAACAATAGGCTTGCCGCAATAGACGGTGCTGACGGTGATACCGGTATTAAGCCGCAACACCGGTTACATCACTTGGCCACCGACCCCCACCGTCGTTTAGATTTTTTATAGTAATAAAAATCATATAGTTCAGTAAAAGAACAGACACCTCAATTAAAAACTGAATGTGGCTGCTCAATGCAGCGTGCCGAACGACAGTCACAGATCAGATTTCATTTCTCCAGTGAGGAGAGTGAGTCGACAAGACGATGGCGGATGATTTAGTTTCGAAACGAAATGCAAAAGCACCTGGTTTGGCAATATTTTGGATTTTGAAAAGCCTGTTGACTTTTGCTGTTTATCTAAGGTGATTTTGGAAGTTTATTTTTAAACATTTGTTTCTTATTTAATTGGTTCCACATTGTTTGCTGATTTTTACTTTATTTAAACTTTGTGTCATTTATTTATTTTATTTGACATTCGTTTTGCTAATAAACGTTCTACGTTTCTTATTTATTTGGTTATATATTATACATGTTTTGTATACCTATTTAAACTTTATGTAAGTTATTTGTTATTTTATATTAGGCACAGCTTGCCCTATAGCACTGTGTATTTGTATTTGTTTTGTTAATAAAAGTTCTATGTTTTATATATACGCTAAAGTGAGTTTGACGTTGTATTTGGTTGTTGCATTCAAGCAATTGACGCCGAACTGCCGCTAATTCGAAAGTGAAAGTAAAATGCGCACGGTGCTTTTAAGCTATTTAAAAGCGAAGGAAAGCGAGGAAAAGAAGGAAAATTCAAACGAACTAAAAACGAACAATTGCTTTATGCCGAATTGCCGCTATTTGAAAGTGAAAGTAAAATGCGCACGCAGCTTTTACAAGCTATTTAAAAGCGAGGAAAAGAGGGAACGCCCCGCCCCCGCGGTGATACCGGTGTTGTCACACGTCGATTAACCGGTGGGAAAATGTCCTCACCGTCACAACCCTACTGAACAACAATGCAAAATACATTATTCAGAATTATTTAAATAAATTATTTTTATATTTATAAAAAAGACACTCTTTAGGAGCAAATAGATTAAGATATAGATTGAATATTTAAAAACAGTAAGTGCTACATTTACAATCTTCATTGATACCATAGATTTAGAAAACACATTCCAGGTCAAATGTAATTTGTGTGGTTAGTTTTGACCAGCTACTGCAGTTTTACCTTTAGACTTAATTTAACACAATCAAATCATTGTTTTAAGGCAGGGATAGGCAAGTTCGGTCCTAGAGAGCCGCAGTCCTGCAGAGTTCAGCTCCAACCCTGAAAAAAACCTCACCTGTCTATAGCCTTAGTAATCCTGAAGACATCGATTAGCTTATTCAGGTGTGTTTGATCAGGGTTGGAGCTGAACTCTGCAGGACTGCGGCTCTCTAGGACCGAACTTGCCTACCCCTGTTTTAAGGGAATGTCACAGCAAAGATTTTGAGACAGTCTTTCAGGGACCTTTTTACGGGTTTTCTAACTTGCTATAAAGGATATGAACAATTCACCAATTATCCATGTTAATAAAAAACAGCATGAAACTTTAAGACAAAGCTGTTTTTGGTCATTGGATGATATATTAAAGCTACCAGCAGAGTCATTTAGGACAAATTTTGAGACCGTGTACAATAAATTAAAAAAATTTATGAACATTGACCATTTTGAAATGATCAGTTAACAGCCTTGTTGGTGGATACTACACTATTTCTGTGTGAATATTGGGGGAAAATGATTGAATTGCATAACGAAATTGAATAGATTTCCAAGTATACACTTCATAAAGCAAGTGAAAAAATGCAATTAATTGTTGTTAACCATTTTCCTCTTCCCACTATAACCTTCTACTTAAATTGTATATATATATATATATATATATAAATTGCTTCTTTATTGTTGCCACAACCGGTTCAGTTGTGACCAGGAATAAACCACATAGCCATGCACTAGCCTAACATTTTGAGAAAGGACATGCAGTGTTTCATTGGGCTAGCCAAGAAGTCAAATACAGCTCTCACACAATAATAAAAAACAACGTTTGGTTTTAAAATCAAGATTAATATTGAAGTTTCTCATCAATTTGCACCACATGGTTCTGCCATCTTTTACAAATTAAATCAAAAGGACGTTCAGAAATGCATTCTTTTTTCAGGTGAAGAGCACCTAATGTTAGCGTGATGGAGAAAAACAAGGCCCACAGGTACTACTAAGGTCGTAATTTTAGGGATGACAGCTAAATCGTCAAATCTGATATAATCAATGTGTTGTGACGTTAAGGTTGAGCGATACCGTTATCCATTCCTCCTACGAATTTATAATGGTGACTTTAGCTAAGCTAATAGGCTAATTAGCTAGCATGTATAACGGGTTAACTGTATGACATTTAAACAACACAAGCTTTAACATGATACACACAAATAAAACATATGTGACTGTACATAAGATGAGGAGAAATGCTGTCAGAGACCGTTCAAGCACATGTACTGCTGACTAGTGAGATGTTTAGCGGGATAACACTATTGACAAGAAGAATGAACAGGTAAGAAGAATATATCTGAAAACTTAGTGAGCTGTCTACCTAGTCAACATGTTGAGAGCACTATAGGCAAGGAAAACGTGCCTATTATGCCCCAAATTGCTACACGCTCCTGTCGTACCTAAAGATGCTGCCTAGGTAGGCAGCTCACTGGGGTTTGATACACTGCCTAGAAAAAAAAAACACAAGCGTGCAGAACAGCGTGGAATTGTGTAAATTTAAAAGAAGAACACATGATCGGGAAGGGGTCATAAATAGGTTGAAGATAGTGAAATTTAAAAAAAAGATCATAATGTTATATTAATCGTGTGGCGCTCGTGATCAGCTGAGGGTGTGTGACGTCACGGGATCCGCACCTTTATAAGTAACGGGCCTCTGCATCGACACACAAGCTCTTTAGAAAGCAAAAGCCCGGGCATACTCACGCTTTATCCACCAACTCCCTGACTTTCCACATATTCAACATGTCGGCGCTTTAGCAGGGGCTCTCCGCCTCAATATCGTGTCGTCCAGTCCGCACTAAAACACAGGTGGACTCGGATATCTGTTACCGATAATAACAGAATTCCTCAGCCCCTTCCGCCTCTCCGACACAGCAGCGAATCGGCCAGTTACTATGGTGACGCGTATTGTGCGTCAAGGGGGGAGCGGACGCGGGCATCATGGGAAATGTAGTTTTCGAAGAACGTAAACCGCCAAGGACAACCCAGACCACATAATTCTTTAAATATATGTTACTCTGAACCATAACAAACTAATCAGATTAGTGGCTACAATTTATAGTGCTAATCCAGTTATTTACATAAAAAAGAAAAGGGAAAAAATGGATAAATATACTGTATTACAGCAGTCAGAAGACTGATTTTATCACTAATCAGCCTTTGAATTAGAAACCTTAGACTGAGCTATACGGTTATTAATTGTACTTTTATGATTGCCAAATAATTATTAAGTATTGCTCTCAATTAAAATGAATTAAATTAAGTCAATAGCACATCATCCCTGTTTGCCAATATATTGCTGACAAACTGAACCAGTGTAAAGGTTGCATCAAAAAAGAAAAGATTAATATGAAGATCATTTGTAGTGCAATGTATCCCACATATATCATAACCACAAACCATCACTATGTCATAACCTTAAAATGATTTGCCTCAGAAGGCTTTGCCATTATAGGCCTACTTTGATTATACTATAGTGCTGGCCAAATAAATATTGACACTACTATGGTATTGAATTTGGATTGAAACGTTCATGGTATTTGCATTGTACTTCACGGTAATTCAAAGAATATCATGGGTCTACCATGGGACATGTTCAAAACACCATGGTAGACCCATGGAAGTGAAATAAGTAGCTTACTGGCTAGCTTAATACCTTATATACCATCTGTTAACCCTTGTCATTTCACAATACTTTGTGAAAAGTAATCATTAGATCCAAACAGTGGTTGTTGTTGTTATTGTTGTTGCATGTTACATTGTTACGCCAGTAGGTGGCAGCACGTGACCATCCTAATGAGTCATTTAGTCATTCAGTCAACTATAGGTTGAGGTTCGAAACAACTGATTCATTCAGTAATGATTGGCTGTGCTGCCTATACCGTTATATAGTGTACAGTTTGAGGGGACAGCCATTTGTAATGTTGTCTGAAACCATAGTGATATTATCAAGTGTACTCAACGTTTCAACAAGTGTATAACCGATGTACACGAAACGGGTAGCCTCTAGAGAATATCACTGTGCACTGTAAGCATCAAAGTGAATTGATTTGTGTGTCTCACTAGAAGATGGTGTATACAGCACTTCCGGCACACTTCCGTGTCCAAATTTGCTCAGTGGTTATCATTTACTCATTCAGTGGACTATATTAGTGGAGTAATGTATAGAATAGTGAATGCGGGTAAGGTGTGATGATTTCAGATACAGCCATTGTCTTCATAAATGAGTCACTGAGTCATTCACTCAACTAATTTGTTCAAAAACCCTAAATCAGGAATGAAACTCTACGGTGTGTTCCTTGGCGTTACAATGGTTCTTGCAAGTATTTTCACTGGTGGAGAAAAACAGACACGCTAACTGGCAAAATGTACTCATTGTTACCTTACCAAACCATGCAGCATTCTGTTGTCAATGCAGTAAATTTGTGTGGAAAAAAACTTGAACCTGATGCAAAATCTGCACTGGGAAATCCTTCACCCTTATGCAAAATGTTGGGTACTTGTTCTGTGACTAGGGCAGGGTTGCCAGGTTTTCACATCAAAACCCGCCCAATTGCTTCTCAAAACTAGCCCAAAACTAGACCAATCGCGTTTCAAGGGGGGTCCCCTGATGAAAATTGCGTTCTGGGGATAAAATACAAGTTTTTTGGCGGGGTTCCCCTGGTAAAATTAACATTTTAGGGGCTAAATATCACGTTATTGGGGTAGTTTCAACCCGTGGCAACAGTGTTAAAGTAGCCCAATTCCGCGGGAAAACACAGGACTAGGGACTTGTTTTGATGACACACTTTTTGGTCGAGGATCTTGCTGAATGTTATTTCAGATTAGACATTCAGACAGCGAATTAGCCACCAATTCACCAAAACATAAAATAGTTGTGTTTACTTATTTACATATTTGTCCATAAATTTCCTGTGGCCTCATACCTACGGCCAAATGATGTATGTCCATAACACACTTTTGCTTGCATGATATTGCTTTAATAGATTCATATATGTACGTATATATTATATCACAGAATTTGTGAATATCAAACATTGTGCAAAAATCAGGAGCTGTGCTTGACAACAGGTTATAAGTTGCAGCTAGTAATAGTACAAAGTCGCTCTGTCTTTCAACTTCTGGCTCTGGAAACTGGGACAAAGCTCGCCAAATGTCTCTGTCAAAACTTAATGGACATTTCCAGTACGCCCTTCAACAAGAGGACACAAAGCCTAACAACTGCAGTCAAAAACAACATTGCAAGGCATTCAGAAAACACTGTGATCCTTCATAGCCCAAATATAAAATGGCAGAAAGGAGCCATCCTTGAAAGTCTGTTAATCCTGCAGCACTTTGGCATCCTGATTCCATCACGCTCAACTTTGTGATGGACAGCAGACATCAGCGGAGGTTAGGCCACCGGTTTCCTGATGTCATCTCCAATTCAGGGTCCATTTCTCAAGAGTCTGCGTCATATTGCCTCCATGTATGAATTCCAGCGAAATGCTGAGATTTTAAAGATGAACTCAGATGAAGATAAAAAGGGCAACCTTTCACATAAACACATGGTATAAATAAATTATTAACCTGATGACAATCAAACAAGCAAGAAACATCGATTGTCTAGAGTGACAACAGACGGCACTTAATGTCCTCAAAGTCTAGCACTCGAGGGAGCTGAGAGACCATTGTGGGCAGACAGATTTGAAGTCTAGATGAGGACGTCAGGACATTCGGGTACCATTTGATCAGCTTAACTAAGAGAAGTGGCAGCGATCGACAGCTGAGGCTGTTTTGTATTCAGTAGTGGTGTGGCCATTGGGGGGGAGGGTAAAGTGGTGAACAATGTCAATGGGAGGCACTTAGACGTGGGCCTACTGACTGAGAAAGTGCTGTATCATGTTGAAACGTGATGAGGTGCAAGATAGACAGCCCATTGTCAGTTTACTCGCTTCACTAACCTCTAGGTTTTAGCACAGCATTGTACTAATAGTCAGTTCATTTCTGTTTTAGCAGGTCAGAATCTGTGGATTGCGTACTGGATTTTGAGGGGAAACCAGCAGAATTATTTAAACAGTGCTGAGAGTACTACAATCTTAGCTGAAAACATCAAATTTATGGCAGCTAGGAAATTTATAAAACTGCATGATGGATGTCAGATTTGTGGAAATTTGCAGAGCTTTCTGTAAAGTTGTGTGCGTGTAGATCTCATGTAGGCCTGGCTTTCAGATACAAATATAATTATACATTTTAAAATGGATATTCCACACAAAAATGAAAATTCTGTCATTGTTTACTTACTCTCAAGAAAGAAAGTAATTCAGTTTTGCACAACAATAGGCCTAGAGTAAATAAATGACTTTGTTTCTTTTTTATCTTGGGTTAAATATGCCTAGCTGACCTAGATGTAGCTGACCTTTATGCTAACAACACATTTCACAAACAAAAAGTAAAAAATATCATGATTGTTACATTGTTATATTATATAAAAAAAATTATAACTAAATTATTGTAATTATTATTACATAATATTAAGAATTATAATAACTATTAAATTTAGATATTAACATTTTTAGGTTGCCATTTCTGTCAATGTAATGTAAAGATTTTAACACAGTAAATATCATAGTTCCACTTCATTTCAGCTTGACAGTTTTTTACAGTCGCTATGAAAATTTTTTCAATATTTTAACAATTTTCCTAAACACTTAACGCAGTTAGCACAACATCTGTCTGTATAGGCTATACAATTAACGCATTTCTTGTTGCTTTGACACAAAATGCATGCAGTTAACAAATTTAAAATGCTTGAACTTTTTGCTTCTTTTACACACAAGCTCAACCAAGACCAAAACAATGGATTTTTACTGCCAAATTTACAAATACTTTCACACTATATGTCAGAACAGATAACATAATTTTCTAAACCTAACTTATAGGCTAAAGTCTAAGTGAACAGCTGTTCATATTGTGAGTATGAAACCCAAATATATCCCTTTTTTATTCATTAATGAAAAACAGCTGATTGCAAATATATAATGTTATGCAACTACAGAACTACAGACCGGTTTCCCTTCTTCCTTTCATTGCAAAAACACTTGAACGAGCTGTGTTCAACCAAGTCTCTGCCTTTCTCACACAGAACAACCTCCTCGACAGCAACCAGTCTGGTTTCAGAAGTGGACATTCAACCGAGACTGCCTTGCTCTCAGTTGTTGAAGCCCTAAGACTGGCAAGAGCGGCTTACAAATCTTCTATTCTTATCTTGCTGGATCTGTCCACTGCTTTTGACACAGTTAACCACCAGATCCTCCTGTCAACCCTATTGGCAAAGGGCATCTCAAGAACCGCACTCCAGTGGTTTGAGTCTTACCTATCATATAGGTTCTTCAAAGTATCTTGGAGAGGTGGGGTGTCCAAGTCGCAACATCTAACTACTGGGGTGCCTCAGGGCTCAGTTCTTGGACCACTTCTCTGCTCTGTCTACATGGCTTCACTAGGCTCTGTCATTCAGAAACATGGCTTTTCATCGCAAGTGAGCGTCGCTTGATTGTGCCATCCCAAAGAAGCACAAAATCACTTTTACGGACTTTTAAATTAAATGTTCCCTCCTGGTGGAATGACCTGCCCAACTCAATCCGAGCAGCTGAGTCCTTAACCATCTTCAAGAATCGACTAAAAACACATCTCTTCCATCTTTATTTGACCCTCTAACTCTAGCACTCTCTATTCTAATTCTATTCTTAAAAAAAAAAAAAAAAACTTGTCCCTTTTAGACTTGCACTCTATTTATTTGCTGCTTGTTTTCTTAAAAAAAAAAAAAAACTAACTCTAGCTTTCTAATCTTTTTGTATTCTATCTGTTTTCTTTTCATTTATTATACAATTAACAA